ACATTGTGATATATATATATGTGTGTGTATATATACGTATATATATATATATATATATATATATATATAAATATATATATATATATATTGCACATATACAATTATATACAATTTATATATATATGTATATATACATATATATGTGTATACAATATAGAAAAGCAGAGTGAGAATAAAACATTTTGCCATAGAACGAAATGGAATTTTCCTGTCATTTTTGAGAGTCCATTTGTCGATCGGCTACATATCGTGACATTCGATATTTCTTCACCGTAAGAACTTTATTCGCGATTTTTTTTAAACTTTAACAATGTACCTAAGCTACTGTGAACACTTGTTCGAGCACTTGAATGATTTCGATCGATAATGATCGTGTAACTCTTCCTCGATTGTACGTCGATCGACTTTATTAATAAATACAAATGAAAAAGCCAGGATCCTCGATCGTAATTCATACGCAATAATTAAATTTAAAAAATGTGGGAAGTGTCGTGACAAATGGTGCAATTATATAAAGTGCGTCTTCAGAAAATCGAACACAAAAGCGCGTCAATCGTCGTACTTTTCTCTCGGTGATAAGACAACTGCGAAATATTTAATGAAAAATCTTCTTCGGTGTTACCTGAATCGAGCTTGCTGTCGGGGAAGACCGCAAAACTGATTTGAACCTGAAAAAGTGGTTAGAGTAGAATCTCCTCACACCGTTTACCGGAACGATGAACGGTCAGAGATAAACCGCTGATAATTTTCTTTTTCTTTTTTCTTATTTGTTGTTTTTTCTTTTTTTTTTTAATCTTTTTCTTTTTCTTTTTCATTTTTTCTTTTCTTTTTTTTCTTTGGCATAACGCTCAAATTCGAAAGAATGCAAAAAATTAAAAAATTCTCGTCTTTCGATTGTATATGCACGTATGTGTATGTGTATGTATATATATATATATGATGTTAAATCCACAAAAACGTTCTAACGTGTTTTGTTCGAGATAAAGCTTCGAACGTTCATGGAAAGAGGATTTTTCAAATGAAACAAAACATTTTAATAAATATTTCAATAGCCTATGTGCGCAAAGACGAATAATAATAAAAAGAAATTCCTATCCAAACCAAAAAAAAAAGATGGTGCAAATTCTAAGTTAAAACATTTCAACTATGCATTCCATACTCATGGGTCGTGCCATAAGGTTCGGACTACAAGAGCATGATCGAATTTGTTTATCCAAGCAGGAGAACACATGGATTACTAGTCAAGAAAATTGTATATACAGGCTGACCTAACAATGTATTAATATATATATATATATATATATATATATATATATATATAGATGTATATATACACATATATAAAAAAAAATATATATATAGAGAAAATGGAAAAGTCATATCTTTAAAAATCCATACCAAATAAGATCAGTTTTCTTTTCAATCTCCGATGAGATTTTAGTTTGACGATTTTGAATTCAAGACATTCGTATCATACTACTATGGTAAAGCATATGATACGCGATATCGTAGTACGAAAAGGATACCTTTCAACGTTGCCTCGATTCCGACGATAATACCGATTGTTTATTATATGTAATACCATATTTTTTTTAACAAATACCCATCCCTTTCATTCTCTCTCATTCTCCTTTTTTTCGTATTTAGTATCCAACATATTTTTTTATTCTTCAATAAATAAGTAAAATTTTATTTACCAGTAAGTACGTACGTTCAATTTGCATTAGATTTTCCTCACTTCGTTGCTATACATTCTGTAGAGCTTCGTGTGAGGAGGAAAAAAAAAGTAAGACTACAACAGGGTCAATACAAAGAAAGATTCCCTACCTGTCCTGTTCAAATAATAATAACAACATTTGCATCCCTTTTTCATCTTTTGTCGATTCACAAGAATGGCAAGACGAAAAATAAAATAAATGACTTGTATAAAGTCTGATAAAGAACAAACGAGTGAAAGAGTCTCGTGTATTATGCGTCTCCTTACATATATACTCTTATATTTTATGCATTTTCTTTATAAATTTTCTTTTCTTTTATACATTTTCTTTTACTGTAAAATGTTTGAATATCCTGATGACATACGTTCGCTACTCAATAAGAATTCATTCGTAAGACGAAACAATATTTCCATAAAAACATTTTTCATAATATAAATATGATGAGGATTTTTATTTATGAATATGATAAAAAATTGATCGATAAAACGAAAGAAACGAAAGGAAAAACGATTGCAGAAACGAAAGAAAATTTAGGCATCCTCTCGATAAAGAAATGATCGATGTTTCGTGAAGAATTATATTTTATCTTTGTCCAAAAGATATATTATTTCTTCTCGCGTTTTTCTGATTCAAATCGAAATCATCTTTATCAACAAAAAAAAAAAAGAAAAAAAAAAGAAAGAAAAAAAAAATGCCAGCGTTTAATTTATCCGCGATATAAAAAGATGGAGAAATATACGATCCTATATAATCCATGAGAAAAAATAAGTTTTTAAAGAATTGCAGAATTTAAAAAGTTACAAGTAAATGAATGTATTTATAAAAAAAAAAAAAAAAAGAAAAAAATCGATTCCTCTGAACTATATCGAAATTATTTAGAATATATTTCTCTCAAGAACCTTCTTCATTAATCAATAAAATAAAATTTTAATGCAGGAAATAAGAAAATAAGTTTTAAAGTATCAACGTTGATCTTAAATAAACGTCGGATAAACTTTCTCAATATTACCAACGATGTATCCACAAATTTTTAAAAAATATTCTCTTCAGATATTTCAATAAAAATTAATTAATATTTCAATCTACAATGAAATTCTTAGATGGTAATCAAATTATTCGCAAAAATAATTTCAATGCGATCAGAGAATCATAATCTAATATCAAAATATCCTATCATACCTATAAACAATCGTGACTTCAAATTCTAAATTCCTCTTGACTCTTATATACATATATATATATATATAAAAAAAAAGAAAATATTTGTTTATCTTTAAAAAAATTACAAACAAGTTCAACTTTCTCATAATGGCGATACGAGAAATTTAAGAGAATATAAAAAATGGACCATACATTGGTCTTATAAAGTCTCGCATTATGGTCGCATAAAGTCTCAAAAGATGATGCGTCATGTAAGACTTCTATCTCATGCGTTTCTACGGGCATCCTATGCATTTCCATTAACACCGAAAGTACAGAGTATGTATATAAACGAGAGGAAGCGATGGAATTAGGAAGTCAGGAGAGAGAGAGAGAGAGAGAGAGAGAGAGAGAGAGAGAGAGAGAGAGAGAGAGAGAGAGAGAGAGAGAGAGAGAGAAAAGAAAATGAATAATAAAATGAATGAGCGAAAAAGGTATAGGAAAGGTATAAGAAGAGATGAAATTAAAAAAGGAAAAGGCTTACAGAGGCGGATCGCTTAATCTTAGAAATTCATATAACCTGAAATTTAAAAAATAGAGCTCTCTTAGAGGATTGATTCAGAGGAGATTCCTCTTCTGAAAATATATCGAGTAACTTATGATCCAGTAAGTAGATGAACTCGTTCCTCCGATTATTCGACGTAAAACACAATACTGAAAAATAGACGATGAGAAAATATCGATCGCCCCTAGAATGTTACTATCCGCCGCTGGATATGGAAGAAAAAAGAGAGAAAAAAAAAAAAGAAAAGGAAAAAAGAAAAAAGAAAAAGAAGAAGAAGAAGAAGTAGAAAGAAAGAAAAAAAATGGGGCAGAAAAGCGTATCGAGGATTAGCATAGCTTTCCGTGTAACATTAGTTTAACTCAGACAAATCGCCGTAGGCTGACTTCCTTCTTTAATTCGCGCTAGTACTGCCAATGCGGTGTATATTTTCTATGTATGTATAAATATCTTTTTTTTTTTCTTGTCTTTTTCTTTCTTTTTGGAAGGAAATATGTATATATATATATAGAGAGAGAGAATAACGGATATAGTTATTGACGAGTACGTAAAGATGATCCACTTTAGATCTCATATTCGATAAAAGCTAAAACAACGCTTCACAGATATATCTCCGTGCGCTTAATATAAATCGGTTTATTTGCTAAACGATACATATCATGACTCTACCGAAGCAGTGCTTACTAAAATTGCCAGTGAAACATGCTATCTCATTCGAAACGCATACCCGTTGCGCCTAAAACGTTGACCGACGCACCAAATAGATACACACTGTAATTTATAATATAGAACGTATCCTTTCAATGCACCAGGGAAAAACTTTTAAACTATAGAACGTGCTAGCGGCACATCGTGCAATTATGGTGTTCCATTGGTGTATCTACTTTGACTCTTATGATGTTCCACATAACTATATATATATATGCTCATTCTCTCGTATCCCTATTATCAAAAGAATTCTAATTGATTCATATTCGAGATTCGCGAATAAATAATAGCCAACGACCGTATCCGTTACCCTTTGATCAAACTTTTCAAGAATCAATTACTTTTTTAAAATTCTTCGTCTTTCATTCATTAATATCAGAGAAAATATCATTTCAAATAGCAAACGGAATCGATTAAAGAAAATAATTTAACCTCTAGCCGGAGACATTTCTATTTTATTATTTAATCAATATATACCGAGAAAGAACTAAATATCGTTAATTTTATAATATTTAACAATAAGATCGATGATTAAACAATCAGATAAAATTGTGTCGTCTCCGACGAAAGGTAAATATGTTAAAAGAAAAACTAATAGCTGGGGCCACCGTGTTAGCAGTAACGATTCGCGCATTTTGTTATCGCACGTGAACGTTAATTAACAGAAATTAGTTAAACGCGTGCTTCTCGTTAAGAAATATATTAGGCTTTCTCGTTAATAGTACGACGCGCAGCTTCACACATTCACACACGCGTTCGCCAACACATTCAATCACAATGCAGTAATCTCTAATACGATTAACCGTTAATCTCTAAAAAGGCCACACGAGCAACACAACACTCTTCTCTATTTGTAAGATTAAAACACTTACTGAATCTTCTTATAAGATTTCCAGTGAAGGAGTCTGCGACTGGTGCCGTGTTATCCTCGCATCTTAGGTCACAAACGGTTGATCCATCAGTTTTCTGGTATTTCAGATTAGGCACGGAAAGTAGACGTCCCTCTCTCTTACTCTGAATCCCCATCACTATCCTCTTCAATCGTGGCTTTCGATCGTTCTCATGCAAGGACAATTCTAAAGGTCTCGCGGCCATCGTGCTCGTAGCCATCGTCGTAACGTTCGCCGTGTGAGTTCTTTCGACGGCTTCGTTACGTTCAACTCCGCTTTGTCTCTCGCTTTCGGTATCTGCGTTTTTCGTATCATGAGGACAAGAAGCTTGAGGACTTTCGCGACTCAAAGGATTCGCACAGGAGACCGACTCGTCTTCCTCCGTCTCAAGACTTTCGACCGGTGAAAGAGCTCTCGAGGACTCGTTGACGTTGCAATAAAAAACGGAAGAACTCTTCGGAGGGGCACTCTCACTGCCTACCTGCTGGAAATGGGGTACTCGTATGAACTTTCAGTCGATCGACCCGTTACAACTGAACTCGCCTAAAGTAGTAAAGACCATCAGCTTGCACGTAGCTATATTAGTACGTATATATAGATAGAAAGACACGCGTATGTGTGTAACATAGTAGCGGCCCACTTTGCACCGCTTCCTTTCGGTAGCTAGTTAGAAGATCCCGAGAATGAATTGACACGTACCGCGAACAAGGTCGAGATAATTGACAACGACGACCTTGAGAAGAAGACGCTTCGGAAATTGGATAAGAGAGAAGCAGACAGAGAGAAAGAAAGAGAAGAAAAAATAGAAAAAGAGAAAGAGAGAAAAAAAAATAAAAGAGAAAAATCCAAAGAAGAAAAGTAGACGAAAATATGTTCGATTCGTCCAATAAAACGATTTCCCGTTATGTAAGAGCATCTTAAAAAGAACATACAAGTACCCCATTCTGAGATGACACCAAGGACGACGCAAACGTATTCTTTATCTTGAGATCGACCTTGCTGAGCTGTCGTTTCAGACGAAAACCCTTCCAACCATGATTCTTCGGGCTGTCTTCACCGTTCGATGCAGTTGTACTTCCAGAGACGAGCTTGGCCGAGCCCTCGCTCGTCGATTCCTCGGTCAATTTTTCAACATTGCTTCCGACCGGACAACTCGAATCACGTGGCGATGCACGCTGACACTGAGAATGTTGTTGCTGTTGATGTTGATGAGTATCTGCTAGCGGCATCGTTAATATCGGCTCGCTCTCCCTCGTCGCTTCCGGCTGAGTCTGATGGATTCAACATGTTGGGCTTTGCACAATCAATCGGTTCATTAGGTACAAAAAACAGAACATTCGTTCTACGACTAAAAGCAGGCACAATCCAATCGTATTATGTTTAGCGCGTCTCTTTTATCGCTGCCATTAAATTAAACACGCTCGCCGTCGGATTTAAACGAGAAGGCCGCACCGATTTGAACGCGAAAATTGAAAATTATACTCGTATTAAGGTATTTCCTTATACTCGATGTTTGCTAGCGATTATCGCTGACCAACGCGATAACATGTTCTTTCTCGAATATAGTTTCACACCACGCTGTCGACTATCGGTTATGATTAATTTTTCATTTCCCTTTCTTTAGTTTCTTTCAACACTCCATTAGAAAAAGACCTACGAGTATTATATTTTCGATTGCATTTTATATTTTGATGCCCGTTTAATGCACGTTCTGTCGAAATAACAGTTTATACATTATTCAGTAATGAAAAAAAAAAAAAAAAGAAAAAAAAATTTGACGTAACACTCGATTCGATGAATTTTTTTTAACCACATCCGTCGATGAAAAAAAAAGATTAAGTCTTACTTTCGAGCATAATCGTTTACTATGTCTTCGAAACACCACACACATGTCACTTAACACACTGATAGCCGCGTGAAATTCCTACGGATTTCTATCAGAATTAATATAATAAGTGAAAATTTTTTATTATACGTAATCAGTAATCGTTATGTTTTAATGTTTGAACGATTAAGTGTAGAAAATTATGAGAAGTGCAATAATTCGAACCTAACGTTTTTTAAATAAAAAAAAAAAAATAAATAAAAAGAAAAGTAAAAAAAAAAAAGAAAATATTGCAGAAACGTGGTCACTTGTCACTTCCCAGTTTCGATAAGGAATTTGCGATATCTAAATAAGACCATGAGCAAAGAATTTTTAAATAATAAATTCTGCAAGACGAGATGTCTGATTATCATAATTGCTTAAGATGCTCGTAAAATTTTTTATAGTATTAGAAATCGATCTAATGATAAAGAATTATTCAAGATTCTTCCAGTATACGTATCCCCATTACGGAAAGCAATACAGTTTTGTTTTTCGAATAGAAATTTCAATTTTACTTCTAAATAGTTTTAAATATAGGATTATATAGGAGTCGTTGTACGATCGAAAATATCCAAGAAGTCTATCTAACGAAATTATATGTAGTATCTATCTTGAGAGTAACTTTAAAACATCTCTGATATTATATAATTGCATTTCAAAGAGGATGTCTATTTTTTCTCTTCATTTATCAACAAAAGCAATACATAAATAGGATTTAAGATGAATATTTATACATTTCATCTGATCTATATATATATCCGCGTTGAAGATATATCATAAAAGTAATTAATTTAATAATAATTCTTTAACAAATAAAATATAATAACGAAATACATTTTGGATGAACTAATGAGTTTTGCAAAAATTAACATCTATCTATACTAACATTAACCAATTAATCTTTATGTGTGCAAATATGCATTACATGCAGTGAAAAACTTTCGTAAAGGAAAAACAATGGTAATAATACGAGATAAATAATCTTATTATATATTGTTATCAACGACATATATATTGTATATACGTGTGAAAGACTCGTAGTGTCCAAGCGTAAAGAATATTAAAGTCGTCGATATGATATAAGAAACGACGGCGAAGCCCGTATAAACAGGAAGAAAATTGATAAAATAAACGACCCTACTAAGATTCTTTCATTTATACCTACAACGACGCAATAACCTGCACTTCCCATCGAACTCACAGATAAGATACACCGTGTAATCATATAATATATGTGAGTGTGTGTGTATGTGAATGTACGTTTTTACGTATCGTTACAAAGTGCATATATAATTACTGATAATTTTGTCCATGCAATTTTTATCTCACATATATATATATATCGAAGTTTTAACACAATGCATTGCCCCGAGTATATCGAACCTCGTCTCATTTCGTATTCCTAATTCTTGTTATCTTCGATTAAATTTCCGATACATATGTTCCTGTGCTAGATCACAGGCCATATTCACACCATCTTGCTTCAAGTAAAACGTGCATGCAATAAAAGATTCGATCAAACGTATATTTGAAATCCAGGAATGAATTTCAAATTATATCACGGAATATAAGTTATCTTAATGCACCATTTAGCGATACCGTTTATCTAATACTTATTTTTACAAATTTAGATGCTCCATATTGGTCCCTCTGTGCATAATTTAATTTCTACATACCCAACATCGATCCAATCACTTAATATACCATAGACCGAACTACAATTATAATTTAACAACTCACTAACAATTAAACTACCTACGTCCGATAGAACTGAAAAACTTTCACATATTAAAACTTAATGACGCGAATATTTAAGTGTCTAGCAATTCGTTTAGTTAAAAAAATGTTGGCCTTACTTGTTTCAATGTGGGTAGACACATAGTAGTTAGCTAAACATTAAATACATAATGTACATAAGCGCGATCACAGAATATCTTTCTTATTAAAATTATTCTATTAATAAGGTAAAGAAAAAGAATACAAAAAAAAAAAAAAAAAAAAAAGAAGGCAAATGTATCATTATCGTAATTGTCTATTATAGACGGTATGTATTGTGTTATTTAATTTTACATACCACAAAATACATGTCAATGCTATGATGTGAGAGATTGAAAGAACGATAAAAAAAAGTACAAATGATTATTAACTTCGATATACCGACGCATGGAAAATGACAAGTTTGACCAATATCGCTCGTGCAATTTTCGATTGGATCTAATATACATTAGTAACTATCATCGTGTTGGATCGAGTTTTTATTTATAAAAAATATTTTCTTTATTTTATCGCGAATTATTATGATTTGCTATAATGTTTCAATTTAACTCCACGAATTCGATGGGCGTACTTTTTTCCAATGGAAAATCATCAATTGTACTATTCGTACATCGTTCTTCTACAATAATTATGATACGCAACTTCTTGGACACTTTTTTTTTTTTTTTTTTTTTTTTTTTTTTTTTTTGATAGAACCATCCCTGTGTTGCAAGGTATATTAATGTTTTCCCAGCGGCGTATCTTTACTTTTTTTTAATAATCTAAATACCTACGATACTCCTATTTACATTTTCGTTTGAAATTTGTTATTTATATCAAATTAAAAAATCAAATGGAAACAAAAAAAAACCGGATAATGAAAGATTTACATTTTTTAATAATCTATGTAATTATGAAAGCTTTTTCTTATATGCTTTTCATTTCCTTGCAAAATATATAAGAGGGCCAATAATCGCGAAAATTGCTATTAAAATTTCACTACAATATTTGAAATTTCTAAAAATGACATCTATTCAACATGTCTATCTTATTGTACGCGACAGAGTTTATTGCTTGATATTTTAAACGATAAGATTTAAATCTCTTACGCTCATGCATATCACACGCCTCTAAAATTCATTTTGGCTACAAAGGAACGCAAGCTATATAAAAATAACGGATATATATAATAATGCTCGGTAAACGAGCACTTGAAGAGCGAAAAACGCGCGTACGATTATACATATAATATATAAAAGGAACACCTACGCATGAATGTTAGCGAAAAAATTAAATCGTTTCTCGACGTACGTATAAAAATCAAAGTGATTTATACTCGTCATCGAGAAAATTCTATGCCGCATAAAATGTTAAACTATTTTCTTAATAAAAAAAAATCTTTATGGTCAGCTTATACGGAAATTCGACAACCATGCAATGATAAATAATTTTAGCGATGGTATTTAAATAAAGCAAAATGCAAAAACGTCCAGGAATTAAAGTTTCCAAGAAGTTTTTTTTTTTTTTTTTTTTTTTTTTTTTTTTTTTTTTCTTTTTTTTTTCAAATAGGGCGGTAGAACGGTGGAGAGAATACAACCGAAAAATAAATATCTTTCTAACATATAAGAAAGAAGTACATTTTACCTGATCTGCACTCGGGCTCCTTGCTTTATCTTCGTTTTCTCGCTTCGAATCATCTTGCCTCTTGGGACTTCGCAGAACTCGCTGGTAAGGATCACCGCTTCCGCCAAGGTCCGCCGTGTGCAGCACTATTAAAGAGATTTTCTGCACGATATCGATTATTACTAACCCTGTCTCGTTTCCATAGGCCATTCTGAAATTCAAAAGTTCATGCATTACGTAGATATCCCTTTTTTTGTTAGATCAATTGAATTTTGTTGCAATATCCAAAAAAAAAAAAAAAAAAAAAAGAAATAAGAAAGAAAAACCATATAACAAATATTAAAAATATAATGATACCTTTTTATTGTTATGCGAGATATATGTAATTCTTTCGCGGTAAAGTTCTTGTGTAAATTTAAAAAAAGTCATAAAATATTAACAGGAAATATCGAGATGTTAAATTAATTTAATAATAATTAAATAAAAATAAAAGATTAATGGAATCGATATAATTTTTCAGATACATACAATCCATAAGATGAATTTAAACTGAGGGCTGTTATGTTTTCAGTTTGTTCTCCGCTCGGTGCGATTGTTAGACAAATCAAAGTTGCTTGAAAGCCAGCAGCACGTTTTTGTAAACCGGTCTTCACTTTCAATGGATGATTATATTCCGATGTGTGTTTGGACTCCCCGCCTGAAGGAACATTGCCCGTCGCTGGCGCATCGTGATCCGGCGAAGTTTCTATTTCTCTCAATGGATTTTGGCTCAATGATATCTCTAATGTCTAAACCGTGCACACCAAGTTTGATCTTTCAGAAACGTCATGATATCATTTTAATCTTACAAATATTCTAATGTTATTTTAATAATACAATAATAATAAAAAATATCCTAAATTACATTAGGAAATACTCACGACTACTTCCGATATACTTTCAGCCTTCTTAAATTTAAATAATACAACGTATTTCCCCGAACCAGCGATCGCCAACTTTCGACTTTCAGGACAGAGATAAATAAGCTGTATCGCCAATGGATCTTCCTCCGAATCCACGCTTCGGACTCTACTCTTTTCAAAAAGCTTTGCCGTTTTTAATTTGTAAAGGACTTGTAACGTACCGGCAGAAGCGTCCCAAAATTTTATACTACCATCCGCATGCCTATTTATAATCGCATTAATTATAATCGCACTCGACGGAAAAGCATATTAGACCGACCGATAATAATTTCCGTCGGATATTCATGAATACTCACCCTGTTAGAATAATTTCATTGTAACTGCTCGAACTAGAACTCCATTCTCCGCCTGAGATCGGCCACTCTTTTTCACTGAATCCAGTTTTCTTTTGCGATTTAGATCCAACCGAGTAAAAAGCAGGTACCAAATCTGACGGGCAATCAGCGAAGTACGCACAACAGGTCACAGGTGATTCGTGTATGTCCATTGGATATGGATTTTCAAAACATGGAAATCCAGGAGTTAACAAATCGATGATCACAAGATCGTTCTGTAGTAAAACCACAACAGCGTAAGGATCCTGGAAATCTGTGAAAGAATCGGCAACATTCATTTGCAAAGCTGAAAAATTTTTTTTTCTTTTGAAATAGAATTAATTTTCCATAGAATACGTCATTGTTATCGTTGTAACTAATTATTTAAAGCATTCTTGAAGAAAAAAAAAAATGTAATAAACAGTTAAAAAGCAAAAAAAGATCTCGATGTAGTATAAATCACATACCACTTGTCCAAGGACTTTCGCAAAGCGTTATAAAATCTACAACATTGTGCTCCATTTCTAAGACCGTCGTGGTTTTTCCGTGTATCACTGTAATACTAGGAGTTCTTCCAGTTGTGTCATAAGCTAAACCACCGGAAAATATGACGTACGCTTCCCTGTAGGAAATTATACGTTTCAAAATTAAATCTTCACAGAATTCGTATGATAATAATACAAATCACGAATTGAAAAAAAATTGGCGAATTTATTACGAACCCGGATCTTGACAGTTTCCATTCCACTTTTTGTATAGATTTACATGGTTCCGGCTCTCCGTCTTTGGTAGCTTTCGCTAAAGAAAAAGAAAATAAAAACTTTTCGCTAGACTTGATGACTTTGACGACGTGATACAATATAAAGAGAGATATAAAAAGAAAGGGACAAAAACATAAGGGAGAATTTAAACGAGAATATATTATATAGTAGGAGGAGTGTTGCCTGACATATCCGATAACACAATTATGACCATAGAGAATCGAAGAGAGGATATTGACTCTCACCGTGTGGATGCGTGACATTTGTTGGCTTTAATTGACGCACCGTCCAAGTCAATAGCGAACCATCGCTGTGACTAGACATAAATTGTTTGCCTTCATGATGCCATGTTATTGATTTCAAGGGTTCGTCGCTGTGACATCTGTAATCCGCACTCTTCGTTTTCAAATCCCAAAAGACGATCTGTCCGCTTTCATATCCGATCAGAATCTGAAAACAAAAAGTTCCAAACTGCGATGGGGTGTACGAAACATACAGCGGCAAAATGGTGTTCTTGCCCGACAAAAGACTCATGACGGATTTTTAATGATACATACTATTCTTGCGATTAAAATGTTATATCACGATAGTCTGAAAGTATCTCGCAACAAAATGCATTCTGCATACACATAATGAGAGCGCATATGAAAACTGTGATGAATGAAAATGCGTATGATCATATCCCACGAGCTCTCTGCAAAAGATTACTCTGTAATTGATATTAATCGTAATAATGATAGCAACCATAATAATGATGACGATGATAATATGATAATAACAATAATAATAATAAGAAGAAGAAGAAGAAGAAGAATATTACATGTACTGTTTAACAATGACTACTGAATCATACTAATTGTAAGTTTTACGACGTTCTTACCGAAAAGATACGATAATGATCGATGTAGGATAATAGTTCTTATGAATTATCAAGCTCCACGTATGCGATCGTGGCCCATAGTGTCAGTAACAAACAAGAGTTCAATTTCTACGACCTACTGGTCTGATATGGAGGCTTTTTACAATGATGTTCTCGAGCTAATCTCTCTAAATAAATCATAGAAATTCGATGTCAGATACATAAAAGGCTTGGATCATCCATGACTACTTCGATTGATTTATTATACAAAAATCGTCGAACTTAATTACTGATGCTCAAGAAGGATTCTTCATAAATGTACATTCGTGTCATTACAAAACTGAAATGAAATCTAAGTAAAAATTAATATCAATCAAATACTGGGATTATCTGGAAAAATATTTCACATTTTTCTATTTTTTTTTTTTTTTTTTTTTTTTTTTTACAAACAACGACGAAATTAACCTTGAACAAAGAATTTTATTTTAATTCAACTTTAGTGAAACGAACTCTTTCCAGACAATCTAATAAAAATAAAGAATAGATAAATTAGATTTCGATCTAATGCATGAATCGATCGCTGTAGTAAATTGCTCTAAAAATCCGATGTAGATCAACTCGTTAAAATAATCTTAAGCAACTCTATCTACCCAAGGTTATAATTGAAATTTAATAATTGCTGTTGATCAATATAAACTTAACAACTGTAACATACTCACGTATCGAGCAATTATTTATCAGAATCATAATTGGATATAAAATCTGTCTGTACTTTAAAATGTTATTATCGCACGTTCCTTGTGTAACGCATTTTGTCAAAATACACAACGACTTTTCAATTATAAATTACAGGGATTCATCGGAATTATCGATACATATCTTGTGTCTGTAAACTTTCTTTGAACATGTATAATGTATATATCGCTGTTTGTAGAACGCTTTTTATTTACATTTAACATGTACACGTGCCTGCTGACAATATAAAGCCTGAAATTAGCAACGACAAAATTCAAGAAATAAAATAAATATTCGTACGCTATTTAAAATCGAATAACTTCGTATAGACTAAATAAAGAACTCAATATCTTTTTAGTAGAAATGGAGATATTAATGTGCTATATTAAATATATTTATAATAAAAAGAATAAAATTCTAACTCTTTATAACAATAATAACAAATACAAAATACATGTTTTTCAAGTTTGTCACTGTGTTTTTATAAAAATTAAATATATGCATTTTGCGAATTTTATTACTCAATCAATCCTAAAACAAATTGTATATGTTTAAAGATCTAAATAAATCGCCATTATGTTGAAATAATATAAATGAAATTCAATACTTCAGTCCTAATTAAAAAATTTTTAAACACGTATAACTTGTTCTAGGATTCTTGGTCGAATTTGATAATATTTGCAGGATGCATAAAAAAAAACAAAAAGGTCTAGAACATCGTATATATTCGTTTTTTTTTTTTTTTTAAAGAAATTTTTCATAAAGAATTATTAAAATGTCGCTTTTTGTATTTTTTTATCGTTCCTACAAAAAAACAACGATAAAAATTTTATTACTAACATATTATTTCGTTATATTTCACATAGCAAGCTAATTTCTCCTGTTTTATTAAAAAAATTCAAAGCTCTTTGTTCAATCTATAAAAAATTATTTAATTTGAGATAGCTTACAAATACTTTTATACTCGTTGTATATTATAAGCGGAGGTATGACAAGTAGCATTACATTATATTTACATACGTACACATTATTTGATACACAATTATTTCAACAGAGACAATCCTTTCAACAGAGAACTTACGTTGTTGCAAGGAAACATTCTACAATGATAAATTGATAAAGTGTGAAAACACGATTCATTTGCAATCCGTAAGTTCGGTTATATTATAAAATGTGACATTATAAAATCGGTTACAAATTTATGATGGTCAGACGTCAGCCCTTCTCGATCTCCGATTCCAAGTGGTTTGGAAATTCGGATGAGTTTGCATTTACGGTACACGCTCAATACCTTTTACGAGAGATCAATTGAATTGCTTTTAAATGACATTAAGAGGGATCGAGAAACGCCGCGTCAAACGTTGCGACTCAGCTTTTAAGGGGGAGAAAAAAAAAGCATCGGTTAGTAAAAGTTCATCGATACAACAATTACAGCATGCACGCATGCACACACACAACATGCAAGCACACACTTCTGCCGCTTAATGGGATTTAAATACGACACATTCGTCAATAATAGAGAAATTCGAAAAAATCTGACAAAACACTTTGATAGATCGCGGTGATTGGGTCTTTGATCATAAATACGTAAAATTATCTAACTATAATAATGAAAAAAAATTGGAACATTTAGAGCTCGAAATTATAAAAAAGAATATTTATTGAAACACAGGAATATTGCTCCTCTAGGATTTACTTTCTTTGTGTAATCGTTCATTCGAAAGTTACGTCAGAGAGAATGATAATAGAAATTTTTCTTGGATTCTTACCGAGTGATCTCAAATAGTATGAATAATAACGCACCGTTTTCATTACATTCATTCTACATTTTCCGCGATGTTAAAATACGGAATCACTTAAGTTAAAGTTTACTTTCTCAAAAAGTACGCATAAATCTCACTTTCTCCGATATGTAAAGCTATGCGGACGCTCGACGATTACCACGCAATTTCAACGTTTACCTCGAGGAGTACCTCGTTGAAATATGGCAGATATTGAAAGTGTTTCGCCCACGTATTTATGATCCAAGAATGAGTACTGCGTTCTGTACATTTTTCACATAAAATACAACTTTTTCTTTTTTGCTTTTATTTCTTTGGTTTCTTTTTTTTTAACGTTTTCATTTTTTTGCAAGTATTAGTGAAAAATATTATGATAAGGATGGATAAATAATGCAAAAGAAACGTACTCAAAAGCGCGCGTACCTTGCTCAAATCTAAAGGAATATCACTCAAGTGTACTACAGCACCAGGATGGGTCTTTCTAGATCTGAAAAATATATATATACATACATGTGTATAACATTATTTCTTGCCTTGTTTTCTTGTTTGTTTGTTTGGTTTTTTCGGGGGCGGGGGTGGCGGAGGGATTAATTTTGTTTCCCCCATAAAGTAAAATATATATTATAAAATATATATTAATTCGTTCTTTTTTCGTGTTAGTGGGGTGGGGGAGGGGGGAGAAAGGCGGAAAAAAAAAGAAAAGGAATAATCTATTACATGCTTCTGCCTTTATAAATTTGTACTCTTTCGTCTAGTTTCTTATCACACGTCAAGACGTTCATCTAATGCACCTGCGGGCATAACACAGAAATAAAACACAACGATATCAGGAGAGGCAAACGAGTAATCATTGAGCTGGACGACGTTAGAAAAATTCATGGACTATCCGATTGCCATACTAGTTTTTCTCCGCTTTTAAACCGTCTATAACCCGTGTAAGGAGATTGAAGTCTATATGGTCGATAGTATCTTCTCGTTCAAATCATTTTAAAGCAGGATAAAAGGGAGTCACAAGATCATTACCGTCCACACTCGCATATACAAACGGGCGCATTCAATTTCCAGTTAGTATCCGTCATTTGTTCCATCTAAAATATTGGTTCAACTAAACTCAATGGCCCGTATTCAAAACGCATTGTTTGGCGATAATAACGCCCTTATGCTTTTCGGGGGTTAAAGAGCCGATTCGTAAAGGTACGTACCTACCATCGAGAATCTTGAAAAACAAAAGGGCTCTCTCTAATAGCTCTAAAGAACACGTTCTGAATACAAGCCCTTTACGTTCCTCTTCCCTTCGTATACATATTCATATAACACGAAATGGCGAACGGAAAATCGGAGTTCGTATTAACGATAACGCCTCCCTTTTGTATTATTTTCTCTTTTTCTTCTTCTCTTCTCTTCTCTTTTCTTTTCTTTTCTTTTCTTTTCACTTTTCTTTTTTCTTTCTTTTACTTTTTTTTTCTTTTTTCTTTTTTCTTTTTTCTTTTTTCCTTCTCCTTTTTTTTTTCTTTTAGTATTGAAAGCTGCGCAACACCATCGTCATGTGACATATCTATATTCCTCGATACGGAGAAAACCTCTGTAATCTTTCACTCTCTTTCTTTCTCTTTCTTTCCTTCTCCCTAAACCTTCTTTTCTTTTCAGGCACGACCGTAGGGAGTGTTATACAATCACCATTCCAAAAAATATTTGCTTGTCATAGTTTTTGATAGAAGTATAATTTTTCAATTCTATTTGAAATTCTGCACGTATCACGACGTTTTCTGAATAAGTCTCTTTGCGTAAACTTATCTGACTATAGCAACAAATTGACTGAAATAAATCAAAAATTTTACACGCACTAAAATTTTTGCAATAGCAGAAAAATGCAAAAATACCTTAAATTTCAGATTAATCACTTAAAACATTTTAATGTTAAAAATTAATAAATTAATCGATTCCATAAAGCCCATTTTTCTATAAACATTCTAATGTAAAAAAAAAAAAATTAATGAAATAACCTTACTTATTCTATCGAGAATTTACTTCTGTAGACCGTAAATACATATTTTTAATTCATAAAGACATTACCGAATGAATTTTGATAAACTTTCAAAAATATTACACATGAAAAATCTACGTAAAAAAAGTTTACGTAAACATTGTATATAATTTTTATAGATTCCCAGGATTACTTACAAAATATAAATATAGATGTTTTAACATTTAACTTCACGTGAAATAAAACGTTCGCATATGAAATTTTACAGAAAATTTTTATATCATATCTACTGATATTAATCATAATTTCAGACTGATATAACGTGGGAAAATACATATATTGCGGACAATCTCAAAATGTTTGTTGATCTTTCTCCGACTTTTAAACATAATATATATATATACAAATAACAATGTCTAAAAATAATTTCATAAGAGAAAAACGAGTGAAACAATTGCAACGATTATGCAGAATGATAATGCATAAAAATCATTAGGATTATAGAACGAAGGAGAAAATTTCACTTAATCTAGATTGAATAAAACATTTCCGATAGTCGTACCTAAAAAGAAAAAATCGAACGTAAATACTATTACATAAGATGCTACGAATAACACGTGTCCACTGATGGCACTGTGCCACTGATTAGATATTCGGAGACAATTCATCACTATGGCACATTGATATTATCTCCGTCATAACGCGCATTCTTGCACATTTATGTGAGCCAAAACTACGTAATTAATATGTGCTTGTTGCACGATTTACTACGTTCGATATCCCATTTACAACAAAGTTAACTTTTATATTATAAAAGTTATAGCACGCCATATTGCCATAAAAAGGCTACAAAAAAATTTAATCGCCTATAATACGTACGCCTATAATATATAATTCATATCGCTTAAAACATATCACCGGGTCTTCCGGTATTCATCACATGTTCCCAAGAAAATGAGAAATTTTCGATGAAACTTGAATATACATCCCAGCGAATAGTTTGTGCGTTTTGTGTACTTACCTAACATCAAGGAAGTAAAATAGCCGAAATTATGCGAATCTGCCGTCATACTTTTTTTTTCTCTTTACTACTTTTTATTACTTTCATTCTCCTTCGCGTTAAACTTTCCACAGAATGAAACAGATTCTGTCCGCGCAATCGCGTAAAACGATATCAGCATCATCAATTACGGAACGTGGTTAGGGAAAAAGGACTGGAAATAGGTGATAATTTCGTGTTCTGTCTGTGGAGAAAGAGGTCTAATTTGCGGCGATCGCAACGGTGTATACGATCAGTTTAACGCGTCATACGGTCGCAATAATTTTCAATACTTACATTTCGATAGCCTTGTTCCAATTAATTACGTATCCGGATAGAACGAACGTTTCGATGTGGAGTACGTGAATATTGCCACGTTCGGTACCAACGTAAAGCCATTTGCTCTGAAGTGGCAGATGGATGCATGTTATCCTGTTTGGGAGACAGATAATAGAGAATTTCGAAAAACTGTCCGATGTCATTCGATGACATCCGACCAATTTGATTTAAATATAAACTTTTAATGATAAATATAAGATGTTATAGAAGAGAGAAAGAAGAAGATGAATAAGAAACAAAAAGAAAAAAAGGACTGACCTGTCTCGTTGAAACTTCAGACTCTGCACTACCTGCGGTATCTTCTGACGAAAGTTCCACAGATGAAGAGTGTCGTCGGTGGTCGCAGAAATAAGAGCACCTTCGTTAATCAAAAACTGCAACTGCATCACTGCCGAACACCCTTCGTGCTTTACATGAACGTCTACGCCTGGTCTACCCAGACTGAGATTGCATGATACAATCTTTCAGGAAAATATCAAATACCTTCCTAAATCTATCTACTTTGCTTAACTCTAACTTTGATAATATATTTCGACCTGAATCTCAGCAAGACTTGAGCCACAGTACTACCTACGTCTTTTGACATCTCCTTTAATTTTCACTCGAATATTCGAAGGAACACCGTATTATCAGGAATACGATACATTCCATGTAAAATACGAAATAATTATAGATATACCTATATAAGATTGAAAGGAGGATAGGGGGAAGAAATTCTCGACTATTCCAAGTTCGCAAGCGTTTAGAATTTCGTAATATTTGCGAGTTCGAAAATAGCCGTCCGCGTGGGAAGCTCTGTCCTTTTTTTTTTCTTCTTCTTTCTCTCTATCTCTATTTCTTTTTCTCTCCTTTTTCATAAATCGATAAATAAAATAAGTCGAAAAACTCTACTACAAAAGTTTGCCTTACTTTCTTAAATTTACTCCTTTTGATAAGTACATGCGATAATCATCGATAAAAAGAAGAAAACATGGTGGAAGAAAAATTCTATTCTTCGTATCGAGCGTGAGTTCGAATTAGGATAGACTAGCTAGAGCTAACTATCTCGATGGTCATGATAATAGCACCTTTGGAGGAAAGCCTAACCTCGAAGAGCCCGTACATACAATACTACATATCTGATAAATAGAGCCCGACGGCCACGGTAACCGCAATTGTCCACTATATGTCCGCGTCAAGCGTCGGTGCTGAGTAGAGAATTAGTAGAATGGAGAAAGGGATAGGATAGAGGCAACCTAGTCCATCGGATACGACCTTACATGGTGTTCTATACTATATAGAGGGAAAAAACCTAATGGTTATGTAAAACATATTTGGTAGTAAGTATGTACATATGTATGTATGTATGTATCTATGTATGTATGTATGTATGTATGTATGTATGTATGTATGTATGTATGTATGTATGTATGTATGTATGTATGTATGTATGTATGTATGTATGTATGTATGTATGTATGTATGTATGTATGTATGTATGTATGTATGTATGTATGTATGTATGTATGTATGTATGTATGTATGTATGTATGTATGTATGTATGTATGTATGTATGTATGTATGTATGTATGTTATGTATGTATGGTTATGTAAAACATATTTGGTAGTAAGTATGTACATATGTATGTATGTATGTATCTATGTATGTATGTATATATGTATGTATGTATGTATGTATGTATGTATGTATGTATGTATGTACGTATGTATATATGTGCGTACATAGATATTGTATACGTGCCAGAAGACTAAGTTTTTTTTTTTATTTTATTTTTTTTGCATATTCATTAAATTCAACAGTCGAAATCGGGTCAGCACTGCTACAACCGCTTTCCGAGATAACGTTTTAGGCGAAAAGTAAGAACACCTTTCGTTGTCAATCGTATCCATTCATTTCATCTTTATCGATTATCATTTCCATTTCTTTTTAAATAAACTTCAAATATATAAATTCGAGCACTTTTATATTGTGACTCTTCCAGTGACAACGAATGTAAGATAGAGATAAAAGAGGATGAATTTTTTATAACGTAATCCGGATTGTCTTTGCGAATAAATCGTGCCATTATTACGAAGGGGAAAAACTGTGCCCGAGCATCATGTTACATTACTTACGTTCAAACGATGTTCTCGCGCTGTACAAAGCAAAGACGAGGTTGCTACACTCATCTTAAAAATAACGCCTAATGGACGTAAGATGCGGAAGTTCAAATGACCCGAACGGCATTATGCAAATTCGATAATCCGTTTTTATAATTCCAAGAATAAAATGAAAATTAAAGAGATTCTAAGAGAGTAAGTTGAAAAACGAGTTGAGAAAATTTATCGATCCCTTTTTATTGATCGTTTTATTGATCGTTGTCGTCGAAACACAATTTCAAACAGCGAGTATATCAAAGGGAGCAAAGTATATTAACTCTGAGGTAATAAACACGATGCATGTAATACGGTCGAGAGATCCACTATTCCTTCCTTTTGCGAAAACCAGTTGATAATAATTGCCATATCATAAGAGTTACCAAGCTTACACCGCATCGTTATCGTCACCCGTATGTTGACCACGTTGAACGAGATAGGTCAGTAAAAGCAGTCGCATGGAAGACGTCGAGAAAACGCACGGTCGATGAATGCTGCATTAACCTTGCAGCATAAAAGATTTGTTAACGTATCCACCAAGTTTCAATTTCGAGATACTCATTAACGAGCGACAATTTAAAAAGGAGAAAAAGAAAAGAAAAAAAAGAAGGAAAGAAAGAAAGAAAGAAAGAAAAAAGACATTAAACGAAGTACATACATGTGAAGGACAATTTGATGAAATTTTAAAGATATCTCTTTTTAATTAACTATTATTCGTTCACGAAAGTATAGGGAAATGAAACATATTCAAATAATAATCAAAATGATTATTTGAACGTATAATTCAAATAATACATATAAATACGTAATACGTATCACCGGATATACAAACACATCTATAAATGCGCTTCCGCCCGAGAGATATATTTATTCTAACCTTCGTACGCGCGGGCGCGTATGCACAGTCCTCATTATCATTAGGGTATCACACGATAATTATGCTGTAATTAGCGTAATGCTCGCAGTTGTTAGATAACAATTAGTAAGCTCTTTCGAGATATTGAATTTCAAAGTAAAACCTTCGTAATAATAAGAACATTAAATTCAAAACTGATAATTCCTTTTTTTCTTTTTTTTTTTTTTTTCTTTTTCCTTTTTTCCTTCGAGGAGAACGAATTTCTCTAGTAAAGTTTTAAAGGATATATCAAGGAAAGCGTATATACGTCAGTTGAAAAATCGTCGGAAATTTAAACTAGGAACAACATCAGTCGCCGTCGTTTTCGTCATGTCGTCGTTGTCGTCGTCCTGGAAATTTACGCTTTAGCACTAGTAGTCACCTTTTCTCCTTGGAGAAAAGCTCGGATTTGGCTTAACGTACCAACAAGCTCGAACGGTCCGGTTTATCTGAGAAATTTGGCTCCTTTTCTTTTTCAGGTTCATATTTGGATCGGACGTGACGAAGAGGCTTAGATACGAGAGAATTAATGTTAAAAACTCTCTCTCTTTCTCTCTCTCTTTCTCTCTCTTTCTCTCTTAGCGATCAATAAGAAACAGTTACGATCGTTTGCTATCCCTTAAATAAATCACAAACACGACCCAGTTTTTATCATAAACAAGAGCAGCAGCACGTATCGTCGCATGCCAAGCTCCATTTTAAGTTTAACTACAAAACGGAAGGGCGATCATTAGTCGAGCTATCTTCAGTTCTGAAATTATATTCACCTCGTTTCTAACTCTGCTTTTTAATAAAGGAAGGCGTAAATGACGCAAAATGTTTCATCCGATACTTAAAACTTATATCTATCTAGATAATACATAGATAAACGACTTATAATAAAGGAAGACGTTAAGTCTAATTCCTCATGTTCGAGAGATTACAAAAAAAAAAAAAAGAAAAAAAAGGAAAGAAAGAAAAAACACGTATAAAGGAAAAAAGAAGTAGAAGTAAAATTAGAAAGACAAATTGATTAGAGACATTTAAGAAGGATGTCACGAATTAAATCGTAATGATTGTTGATTAATAAACGGGGTAGCCAATATCGAGACTTATAAAAAAAAAAATCAATCAGTACTAAATAAAATACAAGCTCTCTATTTTCTTAAAAAGTCAAACGATGGTACGATGTTAAGGTAACGATACCGTTAAAGGATACATCCTGAGGGATCCTGATTTAGTACCAATGGCAAGGAGCCTTTGAACTGGGTCGAAAGCAACGGCTGTCGGTTGATGTGGAAAGCCATGTCTGAATGTCTGCAACATATAAGAGGCATTTGTTTCATAGCATCTTTTCCGTTTTAGCCGACTGGAAGGCCATTCATTTCAACAAAGGGTTCGCAGGGTGTGCGTGGGAGAAAGAAAGTGTAGGAAAGAGAGAGGAAGAGAGAGAGAGAGAGAGAGAGAGAGAGAGAGAGAGAGAGAGAGAGAAAGAGAGAGAGAGAGAGAAAGAGAGAGAGAGAGAGAGGAAGAGTGAGAGAGAGAGAGAAGAGTGAGAGGGAAATGGATCCAGAATGAAGGGCAGCATTGTTCCAGCGAGCTATCATCGTCGTATATCCTTGTCTCGTTCTGCGTCAACTGGTTGCCATTAATTCTATACCTTTGTCGACGGTGTCGTCGACGATGCCTACCACGCCGCGTGTATCTTCCACCTCATCCTCTCTTACTCATCCTCCTCGGACACGTACCTATCTAACTCTTACGATCGTGTGCAAAACATATACATTTACAACTTTAAGCGCGCGCACGAACTCGAACACTGAATCAATAAGTTTAGTTCCGACACGGAGCAACGTGGTTGTCTCATTCTTTGATGCAACCACATTCTAAAGACAACTATATATAGAGTGAGAGGCAGAGAGAGAGAGAGAGAGAGAGAGAGAGAGAGAGAGAGAGAGAGAGAAGGGTATAGCAAGATGCTTATGTTAAACTCTTTCTTCTCTCTCTCTCTCTCTCTCTCTCTCTCTCTCTCTCTCTCTCTCTCTCTCTCTCTCTCTCTCTCTTTCCGTATCCTGTATCGTGATCGGATAATAATAATGATTATAATGATATTGATAATCACGGATAAACTGTACTCGCTTGCAATACAAATTTCATAGAAGAAAATTATTTTATTTCGATGACATCATTACAATGCAGATTGCGTCGGGTTTCATCATCGAAACTATCAGTGTCAATTGCAGGCTTAATATGACGTTTTTTTTTTTATAAATAAAAGTAATTTTTTAAATACTCAAAGAGAGTTTAATTTCTACAGAAAAAAAAGAAAAAAAAATATATATATATATATATTTATTATATTTTTATTTATAATTCTCCTTTTCATACGTTCAAATGAATTTGTATAGATCAGTAGTATTCTGTACATTTTAAATGCGACCTACGCAACACTTATATATATAAAGGGTGAAAAAAGCAAGAATATCTGTCTGATATTTGTCAAGGTATTAAAATAGCAAAAATATCGTGGAAACGTTTATATGAAATATCGTGAAATATTCATAGACGCATAAAGAAGACCTAAAGCTTTCCTTCTTCGATCGTTATCTAAAATATTTTATATTTCTGATCTACAAAACGCGCTTGACGCGTTTCATTTTATTTAAAACTTCGCAATGTTTTCCGTTATACATTTCCATGTCATAATGCTCGAATGTACGGTGTTTCATTACTTGCGATCCACTGTATTTTCTCTGCTCTCTATCGGCGTTTCCAATATTTTGGTATATAGACGATAACATGGGCGCTATTAATATCGAATGTTACTATCAAAATCTCAATATTGCTCGTGTCTAACGCATGTGAGTGAGGAAATATATGCATATGCATACTCTCGCAAGTATGAAAGGGATAGAGAGAGAAAGAGAGAAAGAGCTATGGTTCCTTATAGCGGATGCTTGATTTCATCGTATCGATTCGAATGTTATGTACGAAAGTTAACTTCTAAATGTGAAAAGCTAGGTAATGTAGGATTCCTCCTAAAAATTTTTCAAAATGAAAACTGAATCACGTATCTACCTTAGACCTACATTTTCTAAAAATATATATATTTCAAAGGTAATTTTAATTCGATGTAACCTAGAATTCCGAAACGTGTACGTACTCGGAATGCATTATATATCCGAATAACACATTATTAAATTAATGTGGAATGCATTAACGTATAATGTATAATTTGGATAAAAAAGAGAATACGAATTTAATTTAACATGACATTTAATTTAAATAGCATTGTAACGACGTACATTACATTTTTCAAAATAAATCGAAGAACAACAAATTCGACAAGCATATTCATTGGAAAGGATCGAAAATTAATTATCACAACAGCAATCGTACTTATTCGGTTCTTTTATGAATACGATAAATAGATAAGCCTCGTTCCTAAATAGATGAAAATAAAAAGGGGCTAAAGCACTGGTTCAGGTTAAATCACGTTGCTCGAAACGGATGTACGCCGAAATCGATTTTGATGCAGCAACGCGGCGGCATGGCCGTAGAAAACTGCCCGCGTTCTATTTCAGCGTAAAAGAAAAAGATAAAAAAAGAGAAAGAGAGAAATAGGTTAAAATACAACGATACGAAACTTACGAATACTACACATCTCCACTACGTCGTTTTTCTATATATGTCCGATTTAAATTCACTCGGTGGTTGTGCTGGTCTCTGGTCAATTTCCGATATTTCCATGCGTTTTTTTTTCGAGCCTCAGTTCTGGTACCAATTTCCCACTAAAGTACTTGCAAACTTCGTCTTCTACTTCCACATCTTCATGGACTCCAATAAAACAGCATCGTTGATCCTCCCCCTCTCCCTCTCCTTCTGTTTTTCTCTCTTTCTCTTTTCTTCCTCTCTCTATATATATAGACATACACACACACATACATACACACACACACACACATCACGATATAACCCGTGTACGAAAACTTTTTGACTTATCCCTAAATCCGAATAACCCTCTTAACTTTTCACAATTTATTTATGTTTCTTCTTCTTGCTCTTTCGTTGTCTTTCTTGAAAGATAAAGATAAAGTCATTAAACAAGCATAAGTATTTTATTTTATATTCAGAAGAGAAAGATAAAGAAAGAAAATAAAAATCAGCTTTTAGCTCGATCAGAAGGATAATAGATGTCTGATGATGCATCTAGTTTGTAAGAAAAATATAGTAAAGAATTCAAGGTCACCGAAATAGAGCAAAACGATCATTTGTTAAATCTTCCGAAAAAGTAAGAAATTGTTCGACGACTCCGTATGGATACGGTATACACCGTAACGAGCGTTTATTGGTTCAATCAAACAAAATAAATTATTCCGATCGCACGTGCTTCAATTAGTTCAGAAATTCTACCGCACTATTATATAGATAGTAAAAGTAGCTCACCGGATTGCTACGACACGATTGGACATTTCGTTGGAAACCACGTTGTTCGACATTTCCTAAATGAGTACGAGTTACGGAAATCACACGGGACATACAAAATCTTTCCTATTAATTATCTGCTCCATGCCAATTTTTAAACTTTCTTATTCATCGAAATTAAAGATTGTAAAAAAAGAAAAGAAAAAAGAATTCGTTCCTTTCGTACGTCGTTTGTTCAGAAATTAATACGAACGATTTTAAGATATAAAAGAAAACGAAAAAAAGAAAAAATATTTGTAAAATTGTTAAATTTGAAAATTTATCGCTTTTACGTTGATATGCGTAAAACTATTCATAGCAATATATATATATATATATATATATATATATATATTGCTATGAATATATATATATATATATATATATATATATATATGTATATATATATGTATATATATATACATATCGAACGATAATTAAATTCTATATTGATCATAATCAAGTTTCAGTAACGATGTTTATGAAATTTTGAGAAACATAAGTGAAAAAATTGGAAAAAGATTCAAGGATCGATCATTGAATTCACGTTCACGATGCGATGCGGCATAGTGGAGCTTCGTTTCGGGTAATTTTGTTGAGTGAAATTCTTATCGTTGAAAATTATCTTGCCGGCACTCGATCGAGAATAGGTCCGTCGAAATGAGAATGAACGCACGAGTGCGCTCGTAAGGGGTTAAGCCATTGTTTCACCAAAAAGTACTGCAGTTTTACGCGTCGTTTGCAACATCGCAATGGAATTCTGCCAAGTTCGGTTCTGTATATAACAGTTACGGCATTATTCTCTGTGATTAAAGAATGAGAAGCATACTACACGTCGAGCGGATTAACGAACATTAAAGGATTAAAATTGGATGGCTCTTTGTTTTTTTTCTTTTTTCTTTTTCGTAAACGAACAAGCAACACGTTTGTTATTCGCATTGTTCGTTTCATGATTTTCTAAAAGGATACATAAATTATTCCTTTTTATAACATTATCATCTAATAATATCGTTTACATTAAACCACGATTATTTTTTTCCTCGGCATTTATTTATAAATTAACTTCGCCTATATTTTACCCGAATAAGTTATTTTATAAATCATTTAGTATATCGTCGGTCTAGATAACATATACGTTTGGTAGATATATATATATATATATATACACGGTTAACGAATATAAATTACTTACCTTGAATATCTACTTACTTTGTATTTCATTGTTTTCGTACATTTATGTAAAATTGATTATACATCAAAATCGGACAATCTGAATTATTTCACAGTAACGTATAAACATTTCGACATGACTATGATTTTGGAGATTCAAAGCACAACATATACAAACGCATAGATATGCTCGTAGAGTATGAACGTCCTTCGAAGAGGTCAGAATATTCTTCTTTGATTCTTCAATTGGCTTTACAACGGAACAGTATTCTACTTAATTCATCACGACCCACGAAAGCACTCAATGCAATATCTTTCTTTATTTTTCTTTTTCTCTTTTGTTAATTTTTAATGAAGTTTCAAAGAATCCTCAATCTGATTACAATGAAAAAGTATTGAAATGAAAAGGCGAGAGTATTTTAAAAAAGTTTCTTGCCATTTCACTGAATAAGAAAATCGTTACAGTGAAATCGTATGAACTTATTTTCATCACGTTTAAAGAATTTACATAATATTCAGAGCATTTTAGCTGCAATATGCTCTGTTTATATTACGACAGACAATTTGAAGAATTCAGGTAGAAATATTAGAATCCTGGAAACGCTTACTTTCAACTTTTGTGATAATAATCCAAGGTTAAAACTTCAATCATTTCCGAGAAAAATTTTAATCACATCCCAATG